ATAAAGGTTAAAACATTAGCGTTTTAATTCTATAGGTACCATTGATTAAATATACAATATTATAATTAATAATAATATATTATATTTAATCAATGTAGGTACTTAAAATAATATTTTAAGAAACGATTTATAACATATTGTATCATTAGTAGGTTAGATTATTAAAAATAAAAAATAAATTCATATTAATAATATTATGTAATTTATGGCAATTACTAATTTATTGTATGTTAAATGTATTTAATATTGTTTATGTTTTTCAATGATTTTATCTCATTCACGTTAAATTTTTATGGTTGTTAAGACATTATCCAAAAGTTCTTGGCTAATATCATATTATCCGGTTGATGTTAACATTAGCCAACATTTAATAATATTCATGGCGGGTAATGATAACAGTTGGCTAATGTTGACTTTAGCCGGATAATGTCGATATTATCCATTTGTTAACATTACCCGTAACATATATATATATATATATACAATGGTCGCCGCTTATATTGTTTACTGCTTATAACAATCAGCCGCTTATAGTGATCAAAAATGCCAGGAACGGAACAAATAGCCGTTATAAGTGCATTTTTCGTCGCTTACAGTGTTCAGGTTTTCGGTTATTGTGATCAGAAATATAAAACATGAGTATAATTTACAATAATATCACCTCTTTTTGTGTATAGGGAAAATGATTACGAATGACAATTATCTTAATTGTGAACTTTAATCCGCAATAGGTGAGTTGATTACCGGGTCATTAAGAGGTACATACGAGTTGATTCCTAGGTCATTAAGAGGTCCATACTAGTTGATTCCCAGGTCATTATATATTTTATTCAACATTTAGTAAAATATTCAGCCTATTAGCATAACCCAAGAAATAAATAACGGTCAAGTATTCATTGTAATCTATATATCACTCATAAATATTCCTATTTGCCCCCTTCCAAACCAGGCTTCAGATCCACCCCTGGACCCAGCTCTAGATATTATCATTGATTATAGAATAGATTTTTTTCCATCCAAATTGAACATAATAAGTACTTTAAGACTATTATTATTAATAAAATAGCACCGATCATAAAAAAATCCTAGATCCGCCACTGCTTATAATAATTTTATTATTTTAATATACGAGTCATATAGTAGTAGTCACTATTTTTCAGTAGCAGTTACTTGTAGCAGATGCTACTGCTACTGAAAAAAAAATCACAGTTTACCACCACTACTTGACTGAGAGATGATTGTAATTTATAAGATCTATTCTATGCGCGATAACTAACATACAATCTAGACTCCTGAACAGTTGAACGTTTTATAGACAATTATCATGGTTGCATAAGGTCAGACTTGGATCCAGAAGGGTTACTAGGGTACTATAGCACCCTCCTTGGCATATTGCCACCGGGTTAAAAACAAATATTTTACACGATACGTATTTTTCAGTGGGTCGGGTACGTTATACTAAATTGGTGATAAAAAAAAACAATTATTTTTTTTATAAATAATTTTTCCCTCAACAATACTGATAAGTGATAACCAGAAGTTGTGTCACGCTGTTTAAAGGTACGGTGTCCAATGCGCGACCGGTCGCCGCGACCAGTTATAATTTTCGGTCGCTGATGACCGACTGGTGTTCAATGCGCGATCGATCGTAGGTACTAGGTTCTAAATTTCGTCAGTAGCACGCCGATGTCTATCGAAGGTTGACGTAAAATTTGGTACCAACATGTCTGATTATGAGTTGCTGTGTATTTTTAATAATAATAAATTAATTATAAACTTACTAGAAGATGAGTTGGAAGATAATGAAATATTATTTTCGTATTTGTTGTCTAAAAAAAGGAATCCAATTGATTCCTTATTTTTAAACCACGATTCTGAAGGATATTTTAAAATCCTAATAAATAGACATTTGTTCGAAAATATTTTGGGAAATTTCTTTCCATTTTGCATCTTTAATTAATAAATTAAAATATTGCATGTGTGAACAGTCATAAAGCTCTGGATATTTACGCACGGATTCAATAAAAAGTTTATCTTCTTGTGATGTAAATGCTATAGCCGACATATTGACACCGAGAACGAATCGTCGACTGCTCTTGTCGCGGTATTGTCACGGGTCGCGACGGCAAATTATCTGTCGCGCGTTGCAGTCGCGGGTAGGAACCAATCAATGGGAAACGCAAATAATCGGTAGAGCGCGACCTGTCGCGGCGACAGGTCGCGCATTGAACACCGTACCTTAAGAGGACACCACAACGGGCGGTCATCGTTTCCGCTAAAACGAAAAGGTTCGATTTTCCTTTTCGTCAAATCTATTTCTACTTATATTATTGTGATGGCGTTTGTTGGCTTGTTTATCTGCAGTTCTATCGATTATTAATGTATATCGAGATTCGGGATAAGCTATCATTTTATATTGAAGATATATAAGAGATAATTGATTTAATAATACGTTCAATAATTTTCACGCATTATAAATAAATATATATATATATATATATATATCAATTATTCTGTAAGATGTAATATAAAAAAAACGATTAATAAATACAACAAACGCAATAGAAGAATAAAGAAATAAAAAAATATTAAAAATGACGTTTTTGAAAAAAGTATGCAACAATTATTTGAAATAATAAATAATTAATTGAACTATAAGAAATATTTGACTTTATATATATACAAATTTAATTATAAAATGCAATTAAAGTTCAAAAATATGAATTCGAAAATTAAGTCAAACAATTTTTTGGGGGGGTCAATAAAAACCATCTTTCCGTGGTGGCCCCTAGGTAACTCTAAATGGTTCTCAAACTATTATTTAGACAGTTGTCTAGAAATCGATTTGCCGGAAACGAAAATCAAGTTTTTTGGTGGAAACGACTGACACTCGTCACAACGGTCATTTCCACACAAAACACGTCCACCGAAAACAAACAAAACGACATCAAAAAGTGGTTTTAGAGTAAAAATACTTATTATGAAACTCATAGAGAACAATATTTTGGAGGAAACCAAATTGGTGTTTTTCGAAATATTAACTATTAAAAAAGACATCTAATGTACATAGGGTTGTCATACGTCCCGGAAAACCGGGATTGTCACCGGTTTTGGACTTTGCGTCCCGGTGTCCCGAAAAATGTTTTCAGGACGTCCATATGTCCCGGCTTAGACGTTTAAAGGAAATGTAGTATTGTTTAATTTTTAATTTCGATAATTTGATCTCAAAGTACATTTTTAATCGTAATCGATCAACAATATATAATTAAAACATAATTCGTAATTTACACATATAATATATACCTAATATATTTTATTTTACAAACATTTTTTTAAATATTATATTGCCGGCCATTTATAGTTCTCTTCAGTGGCGTAAATATAACTTTTATATGAGGCGGATCAGGGGTATCATTTGCAAACAAATCATTATTTTTATTTTATCATTATTTTTTTTTTTTACGTTTCTAAAGCTCTCACACTAAGAACATTATTTTGTAACATTTAGAAAAAGGCCTAGGGGAAATCTGACCTCCACATCCCCCCTTGTATACGCCTCTGGTCCTCTCAATATATTAAAAGTTGTATAAAAAGTATATTACTCAATTTCAATACTGTGTCCCGGTTTCACCTTATAAATTTACGGCAACCCTAAATGTATAGCAGAGTCAGGGGTTAAAATGAAGGGAAAAGTAGGAGGACCAATAGTCCCCCTTTAACAAATTATTCGTAAGGTATGCTGGATTATATTTGTGTAATTCGTTATTATTAAAAATGTAGTATTATTTGTGATTTAATTTTTTCATAAAATTTCCCATTTTAAGTCATAAGCAGAGCGGTATCCACTTTCCCACCTTTATTATGTTTATCTCTTTATAATATTATTCATTATGAATTAATTTTTTGTTTAAATTGTTATTTGTTTTATTTTTTTTTTTTTTTTTGTTATTACAGAGAAGATTTTTCTTTAAAATAAAGGTATTATAAAGGTCTTAGATATATTTTTAAACTGGTCACTTATGTTTATTCTTTAAAATATTTAGCACATTATTAAGACTAAAAAAAGGTCATGCCATGAGGATGTAGTCAGGGCTGTATTCAAAACAGGGCATGAGGGCGTGGGCCAAGGGCGCAGTTCGAAAAGGGGCGCAAATTTTAACACTACTTATGTAATATTTTTCACGAAGTATGAAAAATATGTAATTAAAACAATTTCATTTGATAATGTCATGGATAAATTTTCCTCTATAAGAGCAAGAAAAGTACCATTGTAATATTGTAATAAATACATTTTAAATCGTCTAACACAATTGTAAAACAAAAACATTTGGAGAAAATGACATGTTTTTATAATGTATTGATTGTTTTAATTATTTTTATTTTTCTAAATTATTTATTCATAGTTTTTTTATTTTATTGTTTATATTTTAATTGTTTTTGAAATTTTAAAGTAATACAAATAGTTATTAAAGTTTATTAGTAATTATTACCTTGTGTACTATGTTTTTATACATGATTTATATATCTCAAATGATTTTTTATACAAAAATTCAACTTCAAATCCGCCCCTGCCAAGGCGGATACACCATCTTGGCCCCTGTATAAGGCATTTACCACGGAACGGGTGACATGGATCTCTTTTCTATGTTTTTTTCCACTCCGTTACACAATTCTGTAGCGCTGAACAAGTATTTTTATGGAGCGGTTCACCCCTGTCTTTAACTTTGTGATGGTTGATATTATTACTATACTATATCATCATGTGGCCGGTCATAATTTTGCTTAAACTAATTTTTCTACTTAGTCTCACCAAATGAAATACAAAACAACGTCATTGACACAGCTTTTGGGATGATTAAATTAAATGTAGATAACCGTTTCGGTATTGTTTTGCGAATGCTGATTTTGCCTTGGGGTCGACGCTTTTTTTTTGTGTAACCGGCACTGCACGTTATCAATTTTATCTTTATCACTTTATCTGTTTGATAACGACCCGTCAATCGCGTACACGGTTATCTACCGTGATCGTTAAGACGCAGTCTCAAACGTAAAAATGTGAACTCTTTCGTCTCAGATCGTTTGTTTTTTTTTTTATTATTATTTGATTTTTAATTAATTTCTTTCTCAGTTTCGTTAAAAAACTTGTGGTGTCGTCCTACTTCATAGATGTCTACCCAGATTCCGTCCTCGTCTTTGACGTAAGTGCTTGGAATTCTATACCGTTAATACTTTTTTTGATTTATGTTTAGTTACTTGCATAGAATGTTTTTTTTATTCGAAATTATTTTAAACATATACATTCAAAATTAAAAGTTGATTTAGATTTCTGTAAGATATCATCTCCTTCATCATATCAAGAACTACAATCGTTATACTTTATTACATAAACCCAATAACAATACAGATTGATGATCGAAAAAAGTCAACAAAAATATATTATCAATTTAATTTCAATGAATACACACGTGCATTATTCTTAGTTCGTGATAAGTTTTATAGTAACATTTTAAAGGTTAATAATATCGTATTAGAAGATAGTTGGATGGAATATCTATTACTATTGATTTTTCTATACCTACGCAAATATTTTCTTCTCTGATAATCAAAACTTGAATAAATTCATATCCCATATGTGATAGGTATAATTTTATCAAATTAGATAAAATTACAATTCAATAAAAATAATGTGTAAATAATTGGTACTTAATTTAATATTTTATTTTTTAGGATGGTGGACGGAGTCAGATCTGTATCACCTATGTTTTATGATGAAGAAAAGATATTAGCCCAGGAAAATATAGAGCTCATATCCGGTGAAAATATCAAAGAAGATACTTTAGACAACAATTGTATGTTCAAAAATATTTTTAAATGCTTACGCTGTGAACTAACTTTTGAGAATGAACACCAAGTACATGACTGTATACCATTGCCTTTAAATGTCAATAAACAAAAGAAATTGAAAAGAGTTTTCATGTGTTTGCTCTGTGATAAACATTATCTCTTTCCATCATTAGCTATGCTCCATTTGAAAAGACATCAAAAATTTATGGATAATAAAATTGTAAACTCGTGTAGTATTTGTGATTCTATATTTCAATCTGCGAAAGAACTTAAAGTTCACTGTGAACAGGAACACAAAATCATTCAATATCAATGTCATATTTGTGATAAGTTATTCAAACAAGCTAGAAATTTACAGTATCATATCATGAGCCACTCAGGAGAAAAACCATTTCAGTGTGAGTTGTGTAGACATAAATTTACTAGAGCTGATCATTTGGCTCGACACAGAAGAGATAACTGTGACCAAATGGAATTTGAATGTGATTTATGTGGAAAAATTTACAACACCAAAAGAGGTATAGTTTAGTCAATTAGAATTTATGGTAATGGATCAAATATATTAACACTAATCATATAAATTATTTTCAGGAATTAGAACACATTTAAAAGTGCATTATGACAGTCCAAAACCAGGTGCAATATGGGCTTTGTATACAGAATCCGGACAGAAATATTATGAGTGTACTCTATGTGGTAAAACATTTACTCAATTTTCTAGATTCAAAGAACACATACGAACTCATACTGGTGAAAAACCTTTTGAGTGTCCCATATGTAATAAAAAGTTTACTTGCCATTATAAACTTAAAATGCATGGTGATGTACATTCAAGTGATAGACCCTTCAAGTGCAACTATTGTGAATTGAGTTTCAAAAATCGAAGGTACCTTAATAAGCACATGCGTAAACATGATGAGCATAAACAGTACCAATGCACAATTTGTGATAAAGAGTTTCAATGGTACAACAGCCTGAAATACCATTTAGCTTCACACTCTGGTCGTAAACCATATGTATGTGTTAGCTGTGACAAATCCTATTCCCATGTTAGTACCTTGTTAGCCCATCAACGAACTCATAATGGTGAGAAAAATCATGAATGTCATATTTGCAACAAAAAATTTGCTCAAGCTAGTACCCTGAAAAATCACCTTATTACTCATAGTGATGATAAACCATTTAAGTGTCATCTGTGTCCAGCTCAAGTAAGATTTTCATTTCTCAATTGTTAAAAAAAATTCTATAATTCTCTATTGTTACAGGTTGCTACATGTGCATCCCTAAAATCGCATCTGAAAACGCATGGCGGAAATTATCAATGTAGTTTCTGTGGCAGTACATTTTATTTACTATCCAACTTAAGATGTCATGAGCGTAAAATACATGGTAAAACTGATTTCTATGAGTGTGACCTTTGTGAGGAAAAATTCAGTTCTAAGTTACAAATGAAAGAACATTTTAAAAATGAACATAACATTCAATTAACAAAAACTATCACTGTATATGAAATTGATTATGCTCATGGTATCTATGATAGTTAACTAATTTGAACTTATATAATAACTGTAAACAAAAATATGATAAAAATGTAGGAAAATCCAATGAAAATTTCAATATTAATGAAGGGGTTATGATAGCTGAATAGAATAAGGTGGCTATGTTTTTAACACATAGTTATTGGTACAAACCTTGTAAACCATGGTATCGCTTTCCAGACGGGTGACAACCATTTAGAGAAAATAAATCTCCACTCTTCATACATATAATATATAATACAATACTAATTGAATTCTAAAAACAGTTACTGTTATTTCTTATTTACAAAAAATAATTAAAATAGTTTTTAAATTTTGCTCTACAGTTAAACCTCTTCTGAATTATCTTTATATATATTTTTTACTGTATGAAATGTATGCAAATAATAATATTGTACAGTATTATAATAGCATGTTAGTAGATACATTATGATGTGTATATTCAAAGGTGTACTAGCAATTATTTATTAAATACGATTCCATGAAAAAATTTGTTACGTAGATTGTCATTAAATAGACGTTTATATTTTAAAGTATAAATTGTTATATTATGTACTATAGTTGCGTTTTTATAAACAAATTGTTCAATACATTTAGATACATAATACAAATATTCAATTTATGTTCTATGTTGTATATAAATGAGAATTGGATGGAAAATAATTTGTATTTTAAGTGAAAAATGTGACTATTTTTATACAATTAATATTAAACAATTTTAATAAGTTATAACTTTATAATATTTATTTAATAAATGATTCAGTACGCAAAGTGCTTACACTTTGTAATACTATTAAATTATATTTCCATGAACATTTTTGTTTATCTTTTTTTATATATATTAAATAGATATCTAAAACAGTGATTCTTAAACTTTTTGAGATCACAGAACACCAAACAATAATATTTTTTTATGCGAACCTCTATAAAAATTATCTCCAAAAAAGAAGGTACACAAAACTTAGCAATAAATGGTAACATTAACAATACACTTCTTTTTTTTCTCTTTCGCCTTTATTTCAACTATTTGTGGTCGACCACCTATGTTCTAACACTAAGAATACACTAAAATATTAAATACAGCAAAATATAATTGAATTATTTATTTATGAGGTATACCGTAGCATTAAAGAAGTAACATTTCAATTCAATGACAGGAAAATAATAATACAACGAATGCATGAATCTTAATGGGACAGATGAACTTGTATTTTAATTGACTGCATAAATTATCAATGTCTGGAATAAGATTTGTTAATGAAAGTCTTAGTATCGACGTAAAATTCAACCAATTTCGATATATACAGTTCTCAGTGGCTGCTGATATTCCACATAAGTACGTTGAAATAAAAGGAAGAAGGACTCTCAATGCCTTTTCACTTAACACCTCGTATTCGTACTGCACTGCACGGCGCCATGTCACTCGAACAAAACGTATAGTATCGCTAACCATGGTCGACGGTCGTACTAAATCAAGCCGTCATTTTGTCTGTTATGATTACTTGGACACTTGCAACCTACTAATTTTTCGTTGTCGACGGTAGTTTTTCGACCTTTCTTATATTGTTTAAGTACGAAACACTATTATTGACTGTATAATATTATTAAATAAACATTGCATACTGTAACTGACTATTATGTAATATTTGAATATAGCCAATAGTAATTTATAAACATGCACGCCTAACATGACTTTTTCCCACAAACCATCTCTGATATTTGGTTTTAATTTTTTTTAATATTTTTAAAAAAACACTAGAGTTTTGAGGAACCCTAAAGTGATTTCCACGGAATACAGTTTAAAAACACTGATCTAGATAAGTAAAATATTTACGTAAGCAATTAATCCACGAAATGTATCAACAATAATAATTACATTTTTAGCGTTAAATAAATTTGCAAGTTATATCTTTACGGTGGATTATTAATTATTATAAGTAAATAATTTAAAATTATGGTATAAGTGATAATTGTGAAAGAATAAAAAAAAGTTAAAATTAAATATTACCTGTTATTAATTTGATAATTTTGTCTTAATGTATAATCACTAGGTAATTAATAGGTCTTGATGAGGTTTGTTATTAAAATGTTGTCATAGACATGATCAATTTTGGTGATTTAAAAACCATCTCATTTGCCACTAGTTTTTTATTTTTCAAAATCAAATTTTTAATAATCATTAATTATAATTAGTAATTTTTTAAATTTTTTCTAGTTGCCATAATTATCTATGAATTGAAAAAACACTTTATTTAATTACATTTATGTAATTTATAGATACAAACTAATATAATTAGCAGTAACAGAGAATTTAGTATTTGTTCGTACCAAAAAATGGTTGCGATTGTCGAGGAGAATGCATGCATTGAAAATTAAACTGAGTTTGCTACAGTTAAGAATTAATGTGAATCGTTCGTAACCTCAAAATTCAAGATATAAATGTAATTGAAAAAGTTAACTAAACTTGTACTGGCATATTGTTTATCTCAAGATATAGTATTCACTGGCTATATAACATATGCAACATAAAATTTGTGAATACAATAAGTGTGTTGTGTTGGGCCACTTTTGTTGGTAGATACATTTGTAAAGATTTGTTAGAAGAAAAACAAGTACATATTAGATCTTATTAAGAAAATTATAAAGTATAGGTACGTAATGGTTTATATTTCTTGCTGTACACGCATTACTACAAGTTACGAACGCCCATGTATATGTGTATGATTTTTTTTTCGACCGCGGCTAAGTAGAAACCGTACATAACTACGCGTTCTACACCTTTGATCACTACGTTATGGTGTAGACGACCAGTATTAGAAAAATCGTGTATCTAATTACCCGATTGTCATCGTTCGTGGTTCACTTACTAATTGTTAATTCGATATTTATTCTGTACGAATAGAATAGAAATAGTATCATAGTTGCCGTTTAAGATTACAGAAAAAGAGATGCAGCCGGAAACCATTAAAATGCCCATTGCTTACCAACTCGATGAGACATTCTTCACGAAAACGTGAGATATAGGAATTTACTGGTTTTACTTTTCTACGGCTTTAGTATCAAACCCCATTTCGATCAAAAACTATATACGGTTCAAATACTTAGTTTTTAAGCAAATCAATAAAGAATATAATATTTAATATTTATTTATATTAATATTTTAGTTTCACAAAAAATCTTGAAAATTTAATAAAAAGATCGTTTTACGTTTGTGTAAGATTTAAGAAAAAATAAAACATACATTTAAATTCGTAATACATTTTGGCAAAATGATAACATCCATGAAAATCCATTATTTTGTAGTAGGAAATTCATAAAATTTCAATTTTATATTAAAGATTTGAAAACTGAATAAAGGTTTTTTCATATGATTTTTAATAAAAAATAATTAAAAAAATGAATATTGTTTAAGACAAATTTTATAAACTGTTTCGTGACATCAACTCAAACGTTGAAAAACATGTAATTATACTAGGTAAAAGAGCTTTTTTCATTACAGGAAATATTAGAATTTATTGAAGGCTCTCCTCGAGGAGTTATTTATCGTGCGTCCGGTTACTATGTCTATGTTACCAGATAATATTCAAAATGCATTTAAAGAAGTGCAACACAAATACGTAGGGGAAACGATAGAAAAACTGAAAAATGTGAAGATAAACAAATGGTTTTCCCAAGGTGATATACAGCGTAATAGTGTTCGGATTGATATGCATTTCCATGTTTTTTCTGAACAATCCAAAAATCTATTTTAATAGCTCGTCCCGTAGTAAAATGTTAACAAACAAATAAATAAATATATAATAAAAACTAATGCGTGATTAGATTTTTTTTCTTTAGCCTCTGTATTTTAATTGATCGTCCCGTTAAATGTCAACAAATAAATAAATAAATAAACAAATGAGTGTGTTGTCATCAGTAAAAATTGAGCAGTGCAACACGAGTAGAACACAAAAGCTGATTTCGATTTCTCATTTTCACATTTCACATAGATTTCGATTGCACAGGAGCGATCGATCTCGATCTCGAATTCCTAAACAAAACAACCCTCGCACCATTCGCGTCACCACGGGGTGCGACTCCCCGAAAAAACTTCGGGCACGGGGCTGTGGTCCACGCGCAACCGTTGTCCAGCGCGTACACGGAGGCGTTCCACGTGGCCGTTGTCCACGGCGTCGCACGTGCTCTCGTCCCACGGGCAGCCGTTCTGTTGCGCGTCTTGCAGACACTACGCGTGGCCGCCGCCTCGCACGTGGCCGCGTCCCACGGGCACTCGTGCGCGTACCGCGAACACTCCAACTGGCCGCGGTAAGCGACGTCGCGGCAAGTGACCGCGTTCCACTGGACGCCGTTCTCGTGCGCGTACCTCAGCGCCTCCAGGTGGCCGATGACCGCGGCCAGCTCGCACACGGTCTCGTCCAGCGGGCAACCGTTCCGGTGCGCGTACGCCAAGCACTCCAGGTGCCCGTTGTGCGCCGCTTGCTCGCACACGTCGACGGTCCTCTGGAAATGGGCACCTCTCGGCGAACTGCATGCATTCCAAGTGACCGTGGAACGGTATATTGTTCACAAATTTCAATTATTGATAGTTTTTCATCTTCGTTCATGTGTTCGGTACGTATTAAATTTTTTATTTTATTTATTCGACTTGTTTAATTCGAATTATATTCAGCATTATTATTATTCATTTTTAACAATTCATAATCTTCTTCAATTTCATACATTATTTTACTTAATTTATATAATTTTATATTTTTATCTTCTTCAGATGTATTTAGTAAAACTCTCATATTTACTTTACCGCTTCATGCGAGGAAACCGATTACAAAATCCATTGAAATATACGGAAAACTCTCACCCGTATACAGATCCTATGTCATTAATCCACCGGCTCAATTTTATAACAGGTATTTCACGAACATTAGTACTGCTGGAAAGGTCGAGCCGTTGAGCGAGGGTTGAGCCATCGGGCAAAGTTGACGCCTCGTTGCTCGTCTCGTCGGCTTGGTTTTTGATGTTGCTCAGTGCATCCGTGCAACACTGTTCCACTTCGATTGGCACCGTTTTCAGATCGTCGTAAAAGAATTTCTCATCCTCGTCGCACACGATGTACAAAAGTTTAGCTAATGTAAACATGTTGCGGCTGCAAGGCGAAACGTTCAAATTTACAGCACGTCTTACAATGGTTAACGGTGGAACTGACAGATGCACTGTTGTTATAATTGTCTATTGTCTACCGGTAACTCATGACAATAACAACAGTAATAATTCACTAAACTACGTTTGGCTGGTACATTATTTTACTGTTTTTAATATTCATATATGTTATCGATTAAAAATAAAAAATATTAATTTGAAAATTGACGAACGTGTGAAAAACTTTACGAGTTAACGATAATCCCATATCGGAGAAATTCAGCGGTACCGATCCCTACATATTGCGGATGCAGTGTCTAATTGAGGTGAATGATCCCGTGGTGAACAGGGGTACACCGATAATGGATGTAAAAGTTATAAACATTTGGATTTTGTGTAAAAGACTGTTATATAACTAACTCACTTTACTCGCCATTTATTGCAATTATATTCAGATGATATTATTTTTACACAAATAACTTATGAAACAGACATCGGCGTCACTGGAGAAAGTTTTTACTTATTTGGAAATATTTAATGGTAAACCAAACAAAAAACATTAATGCAAACAATTTGTCAAATTATACACGACAATATTTGTTTGAGAATCGTACTTGAGAAAAATTAAAGAAAAATTAGAGAACAATAAGAAATCATTCATAAGTAGACCAAAAAAAATAGTCAGAAAGGTGTCAAATCATATTTACGAACTGAGCCTAATCTAAAGACCGAACTGTCAGAGTTAATAATTTATAATATAACTCATCTTAATTATACCTACCCTAAAATGTTAGGTTACCATTAAATTGTCCACGTTTTCGGCTACCAAAATTTCTGTCCTTCTTGGATTACTCCTTGCCTACAAAGGAATATCTTGGATAGAGATAACGATTTTTTTTATTTTCTTGAAAAAGTGCAGTAGCCACTTCTAATATACACTCTTTTACTATTTCGGAATCGGAAAACGGTTTTTGGTGCTTATTAAGAACTCAGCACACACGCAACGCTGCTTCAGTTTATTTACCTTGTTCACTCATACACCGAATAAGTGTAGTCGTACTATTTTAGTGAGATAATATACATGTATGGAGCTTATTTTTACGCACTTCACTGTCTGGAGGAAAATTTGTATGAAAATCTTTATGAGTACCTAATGTCTTAATGTCAATTTAAATTTCCACTTTTAATAATAGCGACAGTTGAATTGCAAATTAAACATACTGGAATGGCTCCAACCCTTTCCGGCAATACAAAACAATGCAGTTCTGTCCACTCGTTCATAAACTTTCTATTTTCGCTGTCAATTTTGCGTTTTTACTCAACATATTGAACAACGAAACACCCACTGTATCCACGCGAATGCATTCGTACTAAATCATTAACTAAATTATTTAGTAAATACGGATTACAGACAAATAATATAACTATTTCAATGGATAGCAACGATAAGCAATAAATGCAATTTTACCACAGATCTTATACTAGTATAAGATCTATGAATTTTACGCATTGGTATATTTGATGTGTGGTATTGTCACGACTCGGCCGTCGGATGATAACATCGTAATAAACCCGATTATTACCTGGCCGAATATTTGCAATTAATTATGATTAGAGCCCGGATTTATATGCATTTAAAAAGTGTCAAATGAGATGCAAATATGCAAAGAAAAAGTGGCTAAATATGCAATTATATGCATTATGTAACACTTTATAAAATGTGTTTTTTTTTTTTTTTTTAAAACCACACTTTTATACCAAATAAAATTCTAAATATTTTATCAAAAACAAAAAAAATTATAATATCCACTGCTTTATATTTTAAATCATTTAAGTCAATTTAAATATTTTAGGAAAATTAAAAACGAGAATACAAATAAAAAAAAAAAAATTAAAAATAAATATTTTAGATTTTATCAACACTTTAGATCATTTGAAGTTACCTATTCTCCTAAAACTAATCGAAAATTTTAAAACAATATAAATATTTTAAAATAATATTTTTGAAACTTAACATCTTTCATGTCTATTCGTGCACTATTCGAGGCGATTACAAAATTTACTGTAAATTAAAATAGTTAATTTATTAAAAACCCATTAAATATGCATGTTATACTCGTATGCGTTTATGAACAAATATATAAAAATATGTAAAATAAAATATGCAATACAAAACTAGTGTTTAAATTCGGTGTGATATGAATCGTGAAGATTTTAAAACTCCATAGACGTGCATACACTTAGTACAAACATGCAAATGCATATAAATCCAGGCTCTAATTATGATATAACTATAATCTGAATTTGATAAATTAAATTAAATAAATATTATCTATTAACAATAATACTATACAGTATGTATGTATATATATTTTATTATAGTAATTAACATAATGAAGTACAATGTGTTGACCGGGTCTAGAGTTTTAACTAACCCAGTGGTTCTTAATCGGTGTTCCGCGGACTTGGTATAAGTGTTCCGCCAAAATTTTAAAATCAGTGAAAAACAATGTTTAGCTCCATTATCTTAACATTTTGACTTTTATGGACTTCTAAAACACAAAAGTATAAGACGTGTATAACAATAATTATATACTGTATAGTGTATAGAATTATTTTAGGTTGGTTTATTTTTGTACACAAAAAACGTTATCGTTAACCTTCGAATTATATGTGTCAGTAAACTATATAATATACATTATTATTATTATTATTATTATTATTATTATATTATTCGATAATCACCACCGTACTGCGATAACATACGTCATAGATATCGACAATTTTAGTTTTCCGCACTAATAATAAAAGTTATAAAATACATTAGTATTAATGCGTTGCCCGCGGTTTTCAACGTTAGACGTGTGTACAACTTCGTAAATAAGGATTCTGTTAATTAGTAAGTTCAATTTGAAATTTATTTAATTAATAAAATATTCTATCAAATTATTCTAATTAGAAATTCATCTGTAACGACCATTTTAATAACAAAATGGACAAATTTCTTAAACGAAAACATGATTCTGGTACTGATAATGCAAGTACAAATACAAGCAATATCAATGATGATATTTTCAATAATGAGAATAAAATAAAAAAGGTCAATAGACAATATTGCAATGATTATTTAAATTTTGGGTTCTCTTATGTTTACGAAAATTATTGTCAAATTCCCCTATGTGTGGTTTGTGGGGAAAAGTTGTCTAATAGCGCAATAGCACCAGCGAAATTAAAACGGAATTTTTCATCTAAACACGCCAATCTCTCGTCCAAAGAAAAAATTATTTTGAATGGTTGTTGAACATCAACACGTCAAGTTATGAATTTACGTTAGAAGAAGAGGAAGAATTCATAACGCTAACAACAGATCGAACTCTCATTTTCTGAAATAACAGTAGAAGAATTTTGGATTTCAGTTCAAACCGAATTTAAAAAATATTCTGAAAAAGCAATTTCAATTTTATTACAATTTTCAACCTCATACTTGTGTGAGCTTGGGTTTTCAACATTGACGAATATCAAAACTAAGAAACGAGAAAGCCTGACAAATATTGAAGAGGAAATGAGAGTAGCAATATCCTACATACGGCCAGATATTGAAAATATCCGTAAAAATCATCAGGCACAAATAGCTCATACAAAGTATTTATTTCAAATTTTTACATTTTTTTTTAACTTTTTTTTATTATTTTATTACTTTTTAGTGACTAACACTAACAATTTTATGCTATACAATATACATCCATTGTTTAATATATTATAAAATTTAAAAATGTGTGTATTACTATTTTATTTTACGGTTGCGTTCCGCGAAAATCTTATAAAATGTTAAGTGTTCCGTTATTCGAAAAAGGTTAAGAACCATCGACCTAACCTAACCTAGCCGGATCCGGACCGCGGTCCGCCAGTTGCCGACTCCTGTGATGGAGTATGTAATCCCCGCCACGAAGGTGCTCCATATTCGAAGACTGGCGCACACGATTTGACGCGGTATCGCTGGACAACCAAAAATTGTACGACCAATGATTTTTCATTTATTTCTATTTAAAATCAAATGTGTTGCTTTCAATTTTGCCGACTGTAAAACGGCATAACTATTTTAACGACGAAACTTTCGTTATTTCTTCATCACCCCCGTGCGACGTCTAAATTCTCCACTGGTTGGGAACTACTGGTCGGCGGCGCGCGTTAATTGATTCATATCGTCACAGTACCACCGGCGTGTACGACGCCGAACCACTCGAGACATAATCTAACATGTGCAACGTAGAACGGCACAGTGTGTCACGAATAAATCGGACGTGGTCACGTACCGCGAACACGGTGTGGCGCGTTTTGTTGGGTATCAGTCCCTATTTTTTATAAAAATTCGTACTACACATTTATTTAATAAACAATGATATTATACAGAGCTCCTCTCTACCTCCTTCCATATGATTATAATTTTTAGTACAATGTCAGTAATAATTTTTAGTAATAGTTCTTTTTTTTAATCGAATTGCTCATTAAAATTAGTTAAACTAAAAACCAATCTGATATTATTTTTTAAACTGAAAATATACTTTTGTCTGGTATAAATCTGAAAACTGTTTACAAATTATTTATTTTAATGTGGGATATGTAACTTAAAATACAATAGATGTATTTAAGTCCTCATCGGCTATCTGCTTAAACCGACTTCCCGAAAAAACATCTTCATAGTAGCTTATTTATTAGTATTTAGTCGGTACACACTTCTCGAATCCCGTAGCGCACACTTGCAGTTTCGGACTACACACTTTGTGTTGGGGTTCACTAAAAAATAGGAGCTGTTGGGTATCATTTACGTTTCGTAAACGCGGTGCCCGCAACGTGCGAAGATGCTGCGCTCGAGAAAGGTGATCGCGCCCAAGTACCTACGGTTGATAACGATTTTTGTTCGCATCGTTTGTTTTGATTTCGACAAACCGACCGGTGTACGTATTACGGAAAATTTAACACCGGACGCGCGATATCGTTACGGAACAATAAACCGTTTCCTCCTGCGGGGCGGCACCGGTGTACCGCTAATTGTCTTAATTCAATCATGTGCCCCCTATCGGGACCGTCGCGGAGGATGTCGTAAATGAAACGGTTTCGACTGAACGGGGTCGTCTCGCGCGCGAATCGCATAAAATCATCGCGACCGTAGCGTAACGGACAGGGCCGTACTCGGACCGGTTTTCTCGGGTCATTTGTCCAGGGCCCGCGACCCTAAACCTATTTTTGAGCGGCCCGGGTTTATAAAAAAAACAACTCTTGAATCATGACTACAAAAAGATTTAAATTTTAACGGGCCGCTGCTGGAGCTTAGGTATCGACCAACGGGCACTACCGCTTTGTTGAATTTTTATTCGTATATTAATACTGTGTACCCGTGTATTATTGCAATGATAAATGATAGTTGCAAATCGTTCGATACATCGAAAACATTCGAAACAACTCAATTATTTGAAAACCATTTATTGCGACCGAATACTTATATTCTACTTTAATCTTATCAAGGAATGTATTTAATGTCATTTTGGACGAAGTAATTGCAGATATAAAAAAACAAACTATTTGAATTACTGAAAACAGTTATCGATATCTTTTCAATTCTTTGGGAGTTTAAATATATAACAGAAGGAGAAATTAAATTAAAATCTAGAAATCTGGTTTTGAAGTATAATGATGATTTACAAGAAGATTTAGTAGATGAGCCACAAAGTTTTAATATATTTATGTTACTTACTCCGGACATAAACAACTAAACCCCTTAGAATTGCTGAATCACTTGCAAACATGTTCCCTAATTTATGTATTGCATTACGAATCTTTATTCCTGCAACTGTTGCGAGAACGGGGAACGATCTTTCTCAACATCGAAGAAACTGAAAAATGTACTACGATCAACAATGACACAACAGACTCTCAAACTTAGGTGTTTTAGCGGTGAAGGCTCAAATGGCAAAGACGATTGACATGGACAGGGCCATTGATGATTTCGCAGCGAGAAACGCAAGAAGAAAAACCCTAGGACTATTTTAAATTTAGGGTTATTAATTATACAAGTTATGGTTATTAATATTATTATGTCGTTTTGTGCGTTATCATTTATGCGTTTGAGTGTTTAAATTTTCTTTGAAAAAGTGTCAACATTGTTTAGATAAAAATAAAACATATTAAAATAGCGCGGTGGCAATGATATTCGATGTTTAAATAATTTAACCGTTAGTTTTATACGCAATTAGACAAATTTTGCCGACGAAAACCGGGAAAACCCCTTTTGAAAAATAGGGAGCCCGGAAGGTTTAGTTCGTCCGGGGCCCGCCGAAGCGGAATACGGCCCCGGTAACGGAAGAAGAGAGAGAGAGAGAGAAAAGCAACACCGTTTTAAAACACAAAACAATGTGCCCACACGTCGTTGACAATCGATACGTTTTTGACGCGAACGCGTCACGTGAATATCGATTGAAACATTGAACATCGACGCGTATTAAGGCGCGTTCTCATGAGTCAAGTTTAGTTGATCGATTACAGTTGATTCAGTTGAATCAGTTTTTGTTCACACATTTCAACAGAAAATGTTTCAATTTTATTTTAAACTCAGTTGAAAATCCGCGGTCGACATGTAGTTGACACCAACTGTCATGCTTATTATAAAGTTCTAAGAATTTTAGCATCACGCTTTCAGACCACTTGAGGCTCATTTGTAAAATTAAAAACATTTAACACGTTAAAAATTAAAAAAAAAAAAAAAAAAAACCACAACTGACAATAAGATGCACGTGTGACTGCCCACCGGTCGAAAACAAACTGAAGTTCAACTTGAATCAACTGTAGTGTAGGTTGTTCTCACGCGTCAAGACGGGTTTCGACTTGAAAGGAATTGAAAAACAACTCATTACTTGAACGATAAAGATTGACCGGGTCAAACTTTTTTTGATCAACTAATTAGTTGTTCAATTTTATTGAAACAAAGGTTCTCACTAGAGATTTTATTCGATTTTTGTTGATCAACTGCGATCGGTCAACTAAACTTGACTCATGAGAACGCGCCTTTACAATCATCGTGGCGCGCGTGTTGTTCGCTCGTCCCGCCGTCCACGCGCGACAGTCATTCGTACAGCGCGCGGTGCGGAGCCTCCGCCGTCGGTAGATCATTTACGAATTAATTCGTCGCCGAGTGTAACGAACACCCGTACGGCCTCGAAATCGACACCGTCGTGCGGCTAGAACGAAACCAATGAAAAAACTCGGGGGGGGACTTTAAACGCAACCGAACCACTCCGGACACGTAGCCCGGTTGTAACGCGAAAAACGTCGTCATTGCCACTCGTCGCGAGCACCGAACTTTTCGTTCCTGTTGACCTGTGCGCGTCGCTTGTCGCTTTCGTCCGCACCTCTGTACGGTGAGTACGAGTATTTTTACCCGTGTTTTATTCAAAGCAAACGTTTACGAGATTCAAATCATTCCTAATACGGTACCGTGTAACATTTTTAAGTGCGCATAGTAAGATACGAGATTGGACGAAGCTTTATTTTTTTAGTTTTTTTTTTTTTTTTTTTTTTTTTTGAGCTTTTAGTGCACTGTTAAGCTCGACAGTCGAACATAAATATAATATACGTTTTGAAACGATTACAGATTTGAAATACGAAAGAGACAATAAGGGTGTGTAATGACGGGTACGGAGTTTGGATTGAGGACGTAGTGAATGTTAAAGGAGATATTGAAGGCCTTCGGAGAGTTAAATAGGACAAGACGTTTGGAGGATAGGCAAGAACGTTGAAAAAGAATATGATTTTGATTGCAAATACTAGACGAAGCCTTAACTGTTTCACAAAGTGTCTGTTAAAATAAAATAAACGTTAAACTGATCCATAACGTGACGTTTAGCCGTCCCAAAACAATTGATCGGAACGTCATGTTCAAAACCAGTACTGTCCCGACCAGGACGTATGACAACCTCGGTGCAGAGCAGCGTTTCCCAAAATCTTATGACCGCGGAACTTGTAGGAAATAGTTTGTGTTTCGCCGACGTCTCGAACTCCAACTTAACCCAAATTTATAGATTGTTTATTGAAAAACCAATACCTAGTCAAAAGAATTTTTTAAATAATCGTTTATTACAACTACCGGTCTCTGATATTCATATATACCCACGAGCGGAAGACGGGCATTCATTTTAGAGGGTGTAATTTTTCTGTAACAACTAATCTGATATTTTTAACTTTGTTTTAATACTGATATTAGGTTAAGACTCAATAAGTATATTAATTATTAGAAAAACAATTCTCGAGAAGAGTATTTGATTATTGGTCTATGATAGGGCGTAATTTTAACATTTTCCCTGGGCATATAAATTTCTAATTTATCCAATAATTTATAAATTATACCTCTGCATATACCTCGCGAGACACATTTCGGGAATCGCGTCATCGTGCATCGCGTTTCGCAAACAGAATAACATCACGATTCGTTTCAGACGAATCTTCACAAAAACGCCACAGGCTTCTTACGTTCCTAAAATGTCGAGAATTATCATGCTGGTGAAAGACACGTTTCGGAAGTATCCGATGGTTGCCAACTCGACGGTTTACGGTACAATGTGTGTCGGCGCGGAATTTTCACAGCAAATATTGACTAAACGGATATTGGTAATGTACATCTAACAACGTTATCCATTTGTGTTACACAGATACAGTAACGTAGTAAACACTACTTTTCATTTGCAGAACAAAACGGAGCCACCGCAACCGATTGACACTGATGTATTGGGACGGTACGCTATTGTGGGTACTTTGATCAGTCCGAACATATTATACTTTTGGTAAGATGAATTACATATATTTCCTAACAGATGTTGTACAGTAAATTATTTACAAATTGATCTAGGTATAAATGGCTTGACAAAACTTTTGTGGGTACAGCACCGAAAATAATTGTTAAGAAGTTGTTAATCGATCAATTCATCATGACCCCACCGTTTTACGTAGTGTTCTTTGTCGGTAAGTGAGATTGTAAAGAGTACATTATTTGGAACCAGACATATGTAATGTTTTTGCAATGGTGGTTTACAGCTATGAGTTTCCTAGAGGGTAAAAAAGATCTACTGGAAGAATGCAAGCAGAAGTTTGTTCCTACATTCAAAACAAGTTGTGTGTTTTGGTTACCAGCACAAGCTATTAATTTCATGTTGGTGCCGCCACCAGCTCGAGTGATTTATGTTGGAATGTGTTCATTTATATGGATTAATATGTTATGCTATATTAAACGAAATGATTACAATACGATCAAAGAAGAATAGTACAAACGCACAAAACCTGGTAACAAGTACCAAACACCTCTCATATTATGTGTTCATAATATTTTTACTATTATTATATTAGTATTCAAGTTGTTATTATGTAAGATTGTTTTTATTGGTGACAATGAAATTAATAAAATTAGCATAAAAAAAAAAAGGAAATGGATTACAAAATATATAACATACATTAATTTTCTACTGATTGATTTTAATCTTATTTTTATTTTCTATGAATTTTAGTAAACTCAAACAACTCTGAGTATAAATCTGTGACTTTCTTATAGTCGATTTATCATTTTTATCCAGTTTAATAGCATCGACTAAATTTTTGGCAGATTCTTCACTTAAAACTTCCAATGAAATCAAAGAAAAATTAAGTTGCATGTATCTAAAATATGATTGTTAAGAAAAATTAAATTTTTATTTTATGTAAAATTCAATATTTTCAGTTTACAAAAATAAAATAAAAAGTTATTAAAAGGTTTTTAGTTTTCTGACTTTTAATACCAAACACTTACCATCAAACATACCATGTTCAATGAATACATTTATAGTTAAAAATTATTAGAGCCATTATATACTATTTTTTAAATTTAATTTTATTAAAAATCTTTGTTAAGAATCAAATGTATGTCTTGAAATTATAAAATTCACTTTAAAATTATCATTTTTTATTCATTCACTTTTAATCAAAAAATGTATAAATTATGGAATATATAGATAATGTCTGATAAAAGCCAGAAAATTAATATTCCTTCTTTTAGGTTCCCTTGGTCAAACTTAGGATTGGGTTTTGACTGCAATGTAAAACATAGTACACACAAACAAAGGATACAAGCAATGGAGACATTTCCAGCAGTCTTCTATCCACATGATATGTTCAAAAACTGTATGTTTGAGCTCGATATGTTCCTCAAATGACATCTGTTCAACTGTGTCGTTGATTTGATCCAATTTAGCTTTGAGACTTTCATTGATATGAAACATACGGCCACTTAAATACAAGGGATAGGATTATAGCTCATTAATAACTAATTTATAAAATAATACACAATTTTACAATACATATGAATACTTACGCAAGTGAACGTAAAATAGAAAGTTGTTCATTTCCTACATATTCAAGTTTTTTTGCCACTCTAGTTCTGATATCTGGAAATTCTTCTAGAAAATCCAGATCCAAGGCGGCTCTGAAATAGTTTAGAGATAAGTAATAATAATATACAATTATATTTTACTTAAAAATAATTAGAAATAGGCTTCGAAAACTAGCGATTATAGAAACATACATTTTCAAATGTGTAAAACATAGTAAACCTACTATAACTCGAATCTAAATAAGTTTTGGTGTAGTAGAAATTAAAAAAAACACAAACATATTTAAATTAAGATAAACCATTAAAAGCATGATCTGTGGCGCTTGTTCACGAGTTATTCAAACATTTAAAATTAAACCTGATTGAGTGGTGTTGGTTGCAAAAGTGTTTGATTTTCACACATTTAATCGCATAATTTTACTTTCGTAAAAATGAGTTCATGTTCAAACCTGAGCAACAACAACCGTGCTTTACCTCCAAGTTACGTTGATTTTGTCCACCGTGCCAGCGTACAACTGCGAAGATTTATTCCAAGCGTCGGTAATTTCGGTCAGGTTAGCTGTTACGGTGCTGGACACGAATTCGATGCACTCCAGTATGCTGCTAAGGAACACGTACATGGTTCGATGGGTCAAAAATACCGATTAAGAAAACAACAGAAACAAAACACATAACTGATTCGTTTTAAAAATTCCAGATAGGTGCACTTGCCGCCGGTTATCGCGGTCTTTTCTGGACGTGATAAGTTTTAACATCAATGGGCGGTAAGAGGTTATCAACGAGAAACTCGAACGGCAGTGCGGCCAACTGTACCGCATTTGATGCACGTGCAAAGTCCCGGACTTGGAAGTCGCGAGATCTCAACGCGTTTTCTTAAACGAGCGTCTAGATACAGCGCAAGAGCAAATTCTATACCAATTGTCATGTCGTATTTCTTAATACTGATCACAAATCTATTATCGTGTACAATATATTGTTGCTTCAATTCTTTCTAGTTTCAATATTTCTTTAATTCGTGATTGGTTAGTGTTAAATTGTTAAATTGTAAAATTTTAAGTGCTGAACACATGAAATATTATAATAATATGACTGTTTGCGAATGCAGTATACATGTTCACTGTTAACTTATAATTCGTATAAAAAAAAATTGCATTAATTAATAAATAATTAAATTACAAAGGAAGCCCGAGAAGGAGAACAATAATAATAATAATAATAATAATAAATAATTGAATTACAAGTAAGTTAATGACTAGTTATAGTTTGCTATTCGTTCATATGCACGGTCAAAATATGAGTCTATATGGACATAAAGAGACTCATCTATTATCTGTTTTTACATTACAGTCTAAATAATACAGTTATTTAAAATTTCAAAAAACGTTTTGGCGTTAAAACGATTATAATATTTTGATAATGGTTAAGAAATATGATATGAGATAATTGATATAAAATTTGCTCTTGTGCTGTCTATAGACGCTTTTTTTTCTAAAGGTTACAGTTTCCAAGGCGCGACACGTCGCAGCGGCACAACTGTTTTTCGTTTTCCGGTCTTCGTAGAGTCGGTTCTGCACACGGTACGATATTGATACGATGGACGACGATTTAAAAAAATTGTTTCGGGACAGCGAAAGAAAGTTTTAAAGAAAAATGTATTATTCTTATACGTGTGAAACCGGCTTCATCGTTTAAAACTGATGACATTAATCGTTGGTATTTATGACAAATCATCATAAGACGGTCTACGAGCAATTGATGATTCATTTTATAAACCGTTTTGTGTACAGCCAGTCGAGGGCGTTGTTGATAGAATCGTTGAAAAGCTTGTTATTCATTTTTCGCTTTTTAATAATTACATTATTATTATTCACAGCAGAATTATTTATAGTTAACGTTTTAGAGTTAATGGATTTCATATTCACCTAGTCTTAGCAATTTAAAATTTTATTTTTAGTTCAGTTTTTTATACAGCGTTTGTCCAGATGATATAACCGGTTCGGCTTGTTCAAACATTAAATATGTTTACAATTATCTTTTATATGGTTCTTTTTGAGGTTTAAATTATTATCAGTTAATAAAAAAAGGTATTTAAAATTTAAAATTGTACGATCAAAAGTATTATATGATTTTTATGATTTCTTAGATTCAAAATTATATTTATATTTTATCTATGAAGATATAAAGTATGAACTAGTATGGTACTTATGTTTTCTTACGAATCTTTAGTTAAAAATTGATAAACCATAAAATTATATGTGTATGTACTTACAAGTTGCTTATTTTATAAAATTTCAGTTTTTTGAATGGTTTAATAAGCTTATGGCAAAAAACTTTTTGTTTAAAGTGCTTACTGAAATATTTTCCATAGAAGTTTTAATTCAGTTCTTATACTAATTTAAATATTTAAATGTTGGCTCTGATCAAAACGAATAATTTAACAATCTTTATATATGTTTATAATATATATATATATATAAATTAATTCGTTTATTAAAAGTTTAAGTTAAAGTTTTCTGAACTTAATTTTGTTCAAGCGTATACATTTATATATTAAATTTTATTTCATTTTTTTGTTATTTTAATCAGTTGAATTAGTTAGCTAATACATTATGAAATTAAACCGACGAACACAGCCTTTTTCGAGAGGGAGGTAGAACCTCAAACGCTACGGGCGCACATATCGATGGCACCAAAAAGTCTTACAAGATTATCTTAACAGTATCCAGGGGCGTCATTTAGGGTAGGGCAGGGTGTGCAACGGCACCTCTAACTAAAAAAATTTGACAATTGGCTCGCCATTAATACTCCAATGTGCCGTTATAATAAACTTATGCATTATGTTTTCATATATATATATATATATATATAATAGTATCTTTATATTTATTTTAATATTTGGTTTATCAGTTTTCTTATCAAATGTTTTCGGCCCGTGGGATTGATTTAAGCGTATTGGTGAGATACATTAAACTTGTCGATGTCTCCATATATCAACCATTTATCGTGAATCTATGGTGCCTCCAAGCCTCCACGCGCTCGTCGACGACGCGTTGTGGAATCAATTCATGTGTGCGAACCTTTTTGTATAACAACAACAACATCTTAGAAATGAAATGAAATTTGTTGATTTTACTCATTAATAAAAACTATATTAATTCTTTTCTAAATTGCACTTTTTTAATACTTTTCAAACGGTGTCATAAAAATGTCATGAAATAAAACTGTCATTTTTTTTAAGGCTAAAGAATATGATGTATTGATGTACATTGTTTATATAAATATAATTGTCTATTGATATTATTGTATGTATGGCCAAAACGATTGACAAATTGATTATTTTTAAAATCATATCGGTTTCATTATACCGCGATAACCATACTCTAAATAAATAAAATATATCACGATAATCGGATTATATTATATTATATTATATGCATATATAGATAAGATTATATATTAAACACAACAAATAATGAAAAGTTCATTTAAAATTATGAAAAAAAAAAAAAAATACTGTATTTAGAACCATAAGTATAATGAATGACTGGAGAAAGAAAACTGTTTATTCGAAGATTTGACGTTAAGCGATTTAGTTTATTTTAAGTTGTGGAGGTTCACATCAACCAACGTAGAACGATGTTTTTCGAGGTATAAAACTAATTGGCTCCTCCAAACCGAAAAACATTGGATTTTGAAAATTTAAAAAATTAGTTACAGTTCAAATGTTACACAAATATTAATTTTTTTTATTTAGGCCATACAGTACTTAGAATTATACAAATTAAAAAAATATTATAGAATATACAATATAAAACACTAGTATTATCTTGCGATGACTAAAGGAATATTTTTCAAGTATTTATGACGATGTAATTAACTAATAATCATGAATAATTCATCTTTTTGATAAATGCATCAATAAAAATAACTACATAAAATAACAAAAACATTATTTTTATATAATTCTTCAATATTCATTTTTGCTTTAACATCCCCAAGCACCACCCTATTTGTGCCATGCTAATGAGTATGTTAATAATAATATATAAATTGCAGTAATTTATTAGAAGATAAAATAAATGTATGAATTATAACGAAACATTATTTTTTTTAGTGCAATTTTAGATTCTTTAAAATGCAATTATCGATGTATCTTAGTGCAATACTGTAATCAATTTTACTACTATCTTACTACTACAACATCCATGCCCAATTTATTAATATTACAAAAAAATTATCATCACCAAACATTACAGAAAAACCGTAGGGTAGTAGAATTCATAAAAATATTAAAAAAAAATTACACATTATGATCAAAAGTGAAAATTGTTAATTTAGGATAAAAAAAAGGTGAATATTCGGTAACACTATAATATTGTAATATAATTATAATATAATAATAATATGATAATTATAATTATTAGAGATTAAGAGGAAAAAACCCTATGAAGAAAGAAAAAACCAAAAAATAACAAATCATATAAAATGTACATATAAAAATATAGCATTTTTACACAAAAGAAGGTAATGTAGTAAAAATTATGATAATATAAAAAAAAAAGTTGAATTTTTTTATAAAATAAGAGAAAACTTGGTAATATAAAAAAATAAATATGTTATGAAATTGGTAAAAAAAAAAAACCATGTGAAAGAATTAAACTAAAAATATTGACAAATTAAATGAAGTAGTTGAAAAAAGAAGTAAGTACCATACAATAAAAGGTATAAAAAATGTATAAAAAAAATATAAAAAATGTATAAAAATGTATAAAATTTATAAAAATTTATAAAAATATATAAAATGAGAATGTTCTAGATCCCGATGTCTTCATTCTATTGCCGATTGAACATGCGATTACGCATACGGTCTCTGTGGCGTTATTACCGATTTCGGATTTAATAGCACTTCGGACACTGTTGGTTCGATCGCTTTCCCGCCCTCGCTCAACCTGTCTATATACAGAACGGCATTTGAGGAGTTATTCCACCCTTCAACGCTGACGTGTTCGATCTCCACGCGCCCAAAACCATGGTCTCTCGACACTTCCACGGTCTGAGACATGTGTATGGTTTTGGACACGTGGAGAACGACAACGGGGGCGATCTCACGCACCAAATCAAGAATGCCGGTTAGTCCACCTTTCTGGCGGCTGCACAAACCTTCGGCACTGAACGCCGGTTTCGATCCCACGCCGGGGCCGTCTACGGCGGCGAAGTAATCACCGCCTCGGACGTTATTCCGGACAGCGTCACGAAGCTGTCGCCGACTCGAAACTCGATCCGGTGGGCGACTCCGAGCTCCGCGGCCTTCTGGCGGGCCAACCGTATTTTGACCGGGTCGATGTCCACGGCGATCACCTTTCGGCACGTGCGCGTCAGCCGAACGGCCAAGCGGCCGACGCCGTAAAACGGGTCGACGTCCGTGCCGAAAGCGCACCTCCGGGCCATGTGCACGGCCAACACGTCCGGGAACGCGGACACCGAGAAGTGCAACTTATCGGCAACAGGTCATCGCTAGAACCGCCAAGCGGCCGGTTTCGCCACAGCGTCGGAGGGACACGGGTCCCGAAATTTTTGGGCGGTGGTCGGCGGTTTCGGCGGCTTCAACGCGGCGGAACCATCGGAGGGGCCCGACGGCAACGTACTGGGGAAACTGTAGGTAGAAGCGATCGCTTCCACCACAGCCCCTCCGGTTGTCACAACCGAGTCTTCCTCGGGTCCGTCTTTGGCATTGATACGCTTCATATA